CTCACACTCACGCACACTCACTGAGGAGCCTTTCTTCCGCTTGTTGCTGATCCCTCCGAAGCGGAACTTGAGCCCAGCCACTTTTTTCCCCTTGCCCTTTTTCTTCCCATCTTTGGAGACTTTGACCTTCTTCCTCACTCCAGGTCCTGGAAAACAGTGGTGACAGTAACCAACAGGTGCCCTTCCTGACTCACTAACCATCAGCACTTCTTTTAGGCCTGTGGTAAGTCCCCTTTTCAGATAAGGAAACAGGCTCAAAGCAGTGAATCCCTAGCCATTAGATGGCACAGCAGGTACTCCTGGTCAGCCCACCTGCACAGACCCCCAGGCCTCACTCTTCGGGGATCAGCAGAGACACAGGCCATCTCTAGAATAGCCTCACACTGGCCAGCCTCCTCCCTACCCCAGAAAGGAGCTGCCCTGTACAGCCATCAACACCACTTACCTGTGGTTCCTGCCTGGGCCCCACAAGGGACTTCCAGAGGAGCACCCCCCAGACCAGGCAACACTGGTAACACCCACAAAGCCACCCATCTGCCAATCACCCCAGGAAACTCCAGCTCCCAGGTGGTCCACAGGGTTGAGGCAGTTTCTATGGAGCTGGCCACGGGGCAATTAGTCACCTGGGGAGAACTGACCCCACCCCACACCCCCACCTCCAAGAATTTGAGGTTCTGGAGGCTGAGAATCACACAATGATCAGCTTTCTTGGGGACACCCCAGGTAGGGAGCTAGAGCACTCGTCAGCACCACAGAAAACCCATTTCAGTGTTTCAGGCTCTGAAAAGGCAGCTCAAAGTATGCCAGCTCAGCAGCTGGTGCCAACAGGAAATGAGAATACAGAGTGGGGTGGCTGGGCAAGGGACAGGCTGGAGCCCCTCCTGAGATCCCAGTAACCAGAATAAAGCAGAAACGGAGTGGGGAGCAGGCTCTGAGCCCCACATTGTCTGCCACCCTCCTGCACACCCAGCACCCCAGCCCTGTCCCAGAAACGCCAGCTCCTAGGGGGCTAAATCCTTATCTAGTCCCAGAGGCTCCTAACCCCCACTGAAACCCAGATCAGGTTACCCAGGAAGGTCAGGCTGCTGGAATCCCACCATTGAGAGCCTTGTGGGCGAGTTTGCCCCCTAGGATTTCAGGTCCCTGAAGGCCTCTGCTCTCCCTATTTACTTCCCCTAACCCCACTCGGCACTGATCAGATTTGGGGTCTACATCTCCTCTGGAAGCCAGCCTGGCTCCACCTTAATGTCCCGGGAAGAGGGGGGTCTGCCCACCCCAGTCTTACCCTTGCCCTCCTTGGTCTTGGCCTTTCGGATGGGCACTGGCTGGGGCACCTGCTGGGGACTGATGGCCAGAGGGGGGGCGATGGTGACCGTCTCCACCGCCGCAGCCACCGCTGCAGCTGCCGCTGCTGCCGAGCTGCCCTTGAAAGGGTTGTTGGCGCTGAACTCCCGCCACTTGGCACCCAGGACGGTCATCATTTTTGACATGGGGATCTTCGGGTTCTTCTTAGCGATGAGCGGTCTGCATGGGAGAGGGCCACGAAGGTGAAGACAGCACCTGGAAGGAGGACAAGAGCCACCCCAACCTCCGCAGGGCCACCCCTTACTCCCCAACATGGGCATGTGTGGCATCAGTCCCAAGGTCCAGATCAGGAACACTGGGCAGAGGGTACACCACAGGGGAAGGGATGGAGCTTGAGACCAGAGACCCTGGACATCCCCAATTTCTAAGTGGGTTCCCAAAACCCTGCAGAACCTACAGGCCAGTCCTTGGACCTCAGGAGAGACGCCAGAACAGCCAAACACTCTCCGGAAAGACTAGGCCCACCATTCCCAAGGGGTCCCAGGAACAGGGCAAGCAAGAGCAGGTGGGCATCTGTAAAATGGGTCAGGAACTAGCTCTGGCCTGTGGTTCCTCCCCTGGCTGGATGCCACCCCCCCATAAGTACAGTCCTGATGGAGTTTATGCCCAACAGCCCAGCCCCACCCCACACACCTGAGGAACTGGCTAAAGGCCTTGTAGTTGGTTAGCGTGTGGTAGTCCTCCTCAGAGAACAGATAGTCCACATCATCCAGGCCCCATTCAGCCATGAGCTGCCCCGATGACTTGGGCTCCTGTAGAGATGATGGGGTCAGAGACGGTGGGCCCACTAAAGTGCACCCTCCAGTGGCCAGCACAGGAAACCTCAGAATAGCATGGAGTTCTCAGTGGTTAATAAGGGCAGTTCTCAACCATGTGCCTACATCCCAAAGCATCCCAGCTCCCAGTGGGACTGCTTCAGATGCCAACCCATGGGGGGTGTGGGAAGAGACACAGGGCCAAGCCCAGGTGTTTAATACGGGATCTGCGGGGGGAGGTTGTGTGTGCCTGGAACCTCCACACAGGGAGACCCACAGGCTGAAGAGAGCAAGGCCCACGACCCTCTAGAGAGGCAGCTGTCCCAGAAATGGACTTGAGATGGGTGGTGGCCTTGGGGAGGAAGCAGGGTTAGAGGGTGCCTACAGCATGTTGAGACATCCCTGGGTAGTACAAACAATTAACTAGCTCAGCTACTAATGAAAAGATTGGTGGTTAGAATCCACCCAGAAATGCCTCTGAAGAAAGACCTGGTGATGGAATTCTGAAAATCAGCCATTGAAACCCCTATGGAGTACAGTTCTACTCTGACACACAGGGTCGCCCTGAGTTGGAGTCAACTCCACAAAACTGGCTGGCTGGAAGGCATGCTGGAGAGAAATGAGGCCTCCTCAATGCTCCCAGGAATGGTCACCCAAGAGCACAGTGGAAGGACAGTCCCCTGACAGATCCCAGGCACTGGTCAGGACAAAGTCACAGGAGCCCAGTGAGTAACAGAGTCATGAGAGGGTCCCTTGGTCCCTGTTTCCCTTTCCAGATGGGGTCTTTGAGTCCCAGGGTAGCATGTGACTTCCTGAGGACACACAGCTTGTTCCAGAGACAGACAGCTGGCCAGGCCTCAGAAAAACTGAGGAGACAGGGCTGGCTGGGACCAGAGGCAGTAAGGTGGGGGAAAGAGGCTAGGAATAGGAGTGTGGGCTCTGGAGCCAGATGTCCAGGGTTCTAATCTTGACTCAGCAACATCCTGACAGTGAGAAGTGGACAAATTACTTAAGCTCTCTGCACCTCACTTTCCTCATCTGTAAAATGGGAATGGTAACAGTACCTTCCTCACAAGAGGAAGTGAGTTAGCACAGGAGCTTGGAACAGATCCATGTCAATCAGTGTTACCCACCCATCCTGCCCAGAACCCCTACTTCGCTTTTTCCACGCAGCCCTGACCTAACCAATCAGCCCAGTAGATCCGAGTCATTGGTCATGTGATCTCCCGCTTAGAAAACTGGGACACAAACGTGCTCCAGATCTCCTGTTGAGTGGGGCCATGGGCAGAGGAGACACTATTCTCAGCCACACCCAGCCTGAGCAAAGCTACCCAACAGAGATGCAAAGAGACAACCCTTTGCCTCTCAACTTTCTGGCATCCTGAAGCAATAAACCCCTTCATTACCTAAGCCCATGGAGCACAGCTTTCTGTAGAAGACCTCCGGAGGCCTCTCAGCCTCTCTGAGCTCCAAGTGTGAGTGAGGCTGACAATAAAGGTGGCACAGAACCAGGCCACTTGGCCAGCAGGAGGGTCCTAGGACCAGTACTCCTATTCACAAGTGTCCCCACAGCACACAGCCATTCTTGAAGGCCAAGCCTGTGGTTGGCACACAACTGGGGCAGTCCTCCCTGCAGCCCAGTTCCCGCTCAGGAAGGCCAAGCAGCATGTGGATGAGTGGGTGATGCTGTCACAGGGCCCCCGAATCATTTCTGCAAGTTCATCTCTCAAAGCTGTCAGTCCTCGGCTGTCATCATTCACAGATTACTCACAACACACCTACCGACTAATGAAATCACTGGTGTCAGGACAGCGTGAGTCAGAACGTCCCCCTTGCTTCCCAGCTCGTCATTCATGATTCCTGCCACACTGAGAAGGGCTGCCCTAGCATTTATGGAGCATTTATCCTTAACTCCACCGCCAGCCCAAACAGTACCTCACACTACCCATCCACAGGCCTTACCCCCAGCCCCTCCACCTCCACCTCCCCAAGGACCTCACTGTGCTGCCTCAGAGACTTGAGAGGCTACAATCAAAAAACAAAACAGAATCCACTCTGACTCAGAGCCACCCGATGTGTGTCAGAGTACAACTGTGTGCATGGGTTTTCAGTGGCTGAGCTTTCAGAAGTATAGACCTCCAGGCCTTTCTTCTGAAGCACTCCGGAGTGGGCTTGAAACACCAGTCTTTCAGTTGGCAGCTGAGTGCATTAAGCACCCAGGGACTCCCACAGGATGAGCCTGCAGCCTCGGCTCTATGCACATCTTTTCCGACACTCGTGAGATGATGCTTTCCTTCAGGGAGAGCAGCAGACCCAACTTGACAGCTTCTGGGAGCATGGTCAGTGGGAGAGCTTTCTGGAATGCCCACTTGGGCAACATCTCAGACCACATGCTGAGTAGCAAAGTTCCCTTTCTACTGTCCGTGGAGCCATCCAGCTGCTTCTGTGGCAGTCTATTTGTTGTTTTATTTTCCCAAATTGCTCCAAGCAAAAGGTTCTTGACACGAAACTTGAGCTCAGAATATACATCACTCTCCCCAGAAATAGCTGAACGCTCATTCGGGAAGCTGTTGCCAAGAGCAGCCAATACATCAACAAGACTTCCTCCACAGACTCCTGAATTCTATCCATCATGACTGAAAACGTGTCTCTGAGACTCCCGACCACAGTGTTTCTCATAAACTTAGAAAACTGGCCAGCTGTGAAGGAATGAGACCTGGGCCTCCTAGCCCAGGTCCCTCACGAGAGGCAGTTGCCTAACTGACCTCGAGACTCCTGAGTGGAAAGAGGAGAGCTACCTCTCTGGGTGGGTGGAATTGTTGTAGTTACACGCCATAGAGTCAATTCGGACACGTAGTGACACTCTGTAGGGTTTCTGAGGAGCAGCTGGTGGATTTGAACCACTGACCTTGTGGTTTGCAGCCCAGTTATGTTCTGGGAATTTGGGCTGCAGAACTGAGGAGTGGTCTGAAGGATGAGTTTTCAGAGAGGAGAGAACCAATAGGTTAGCAGCTCGAGTTCACCCAGAGGTATCTCAGAAGAAAGTCATGTCGATGTCGTGAAAACTCTATGAGGTACAGTTCTACTCTGACACACGTGGAGGCACCATGAGTCAGAATCGATTCAACACTAGTGAACTGGGAGGGCATGTTGAGAAGAAATGAGGTTTCCAGACTGCATATGAGCACATGAATACACACATGCACGCATGCATGCTCACAGACCCATCTGGCCCCAACCACCCTGGAATGGAAAAGGATATTTTGCCTTTATGACTCAGGGACTCGGAGTGGAAAGGCTGAGAACTGAAAACACCCAAGGCTCAGTGCCTCTGAGCAAGTATACCCTGTGCACCAGCTCAGGTCTGGCCTACCAGCCTTGGTTACCTTTAAGCCTCCATCATCATTGTCATCCTCATCATCATCCTTCTTCTTTCGCTTGACTTTTTTCTCCTTCTTGTCCTTGAGTTTCTTCTTCTTCTTTTTATTAGGGGAGTAGTCACTGCCGTCACTCTCCGACTTCTCTTCCAGATCCTCTTCATTTTCCGACAGCTCATCATTGCTCCCCTGGAAGGGAAAGGAGAGCAGTGAGGCTAAGAGAGGACCAGGTGAAGCCTGGAATTCTGGGGCAGCACTAGGAAGTCAAGTGGTCACACCTCGACACTTTCTGGGCCACTTGTTCCCACTCCACATCACATCCCAGTGCTGTTGGGTTCAGCACCGGAAGGAGAACTAAATCAAGAGTCTTATCTCCCAACAACTGGGCAGCACCAACCGTAGACTATGCCGGTGTGCCGAGGCCATTTACAACCCAGACTTCTGCACTGTGCAAGCTACATGAAGCCTGCTTGGATTTGCCCCTGGAATGATGTTGACACCATGGTAACCATAATCATGATTTTGTGGACTTTAGGATTTTAACAAGTGTCATGTGATAATGTACTTGGGACCCAGGAGCTCAGAGCAGAGGATGTGATGCAAAAAGCCCAAAGCAAGATGCAAGAAAAAGGCTCAAGTATAAATAGGCCCATGGGCCTGCCCAGCTCCCAGCTCCTGTACGGGACCTATGGAATTGCATGGATCAAACAAAACTTGTCGTTAGTTTGATCCCAATTATCTATGAACCATTTAGAATAGGAAGGAGCCCTTATATCACAGTGGGTTAAGCATTGAGCTTCCAAATGCAAGGTCAGCAGTTCCTATCCACCAGTCGATCTACAGGAGAAAGATGAGGCTTTCTGGTCCTGTAGAGACCCACAGCCTCAGAAACCCTAGACAGGGTAGCTACAAGTCGGAACCGACTCCATATTACACAACCACCACCACCATCTAGAATAAGCCAAAGTTTCATCATTGTCACCAGGAGTGGATGAAAGGGAGCGGGAAAGGAAGACACAATGTTAATGATGCTGGGAAAATTCAAGAGCAGTTAACAATGATGGCTGAACAACATGATGCACATAATTAATGTCACTGAACTGACGTGTGAAGTTTGTTGAAATGGCCAATGTTTTGTTCTCTATATGCTTACCATAAAATAAATAAGCACAGTCTCTCCAGACTACTTACAACAAAGTGGTCCATACACTATTTCTTTTCTATACATTGATGGTGTTGTTGCTAAGTGACGTCTGTATAGGGTTTCCAAATCTGTAAGTCTTTGCTGGAGAAGATAGCCTCATCTTTCTCCCATGGAGAGGCTGGTGAACTTGAACCACCAACCTTGTCACTCACAGTCCAGTGCTTATCCTACAGAGCCACCGTCTTCTCTTTTCTATACATAAGTGATTTAGAAGCATTCATATTGAATGATTTGGGAGAAAAAAAAAAACTGCACATCCCAGTTCTATCGAATTGGGCTTTCCAAAAGCGTTATGGCATGAGCCCATCTTCCCCACCAGCTCTACCTACAATGGCAGCTTCCTTTCAATATGAGACAAGGTAATTTCAGCAGCTCTTAAGCTTGGCTTCCTTGATTTAGTTTCCTGTCTGTACAGGCAGAAAATGGCCCATTTATATGGAGATAGGGGCGTTTACAGCCAGAGCATCCCCACCAGAAAGGAACTGCCCCTAGAAAGCTGTTTACTCGTTGCCAGTGGAGAAGCAAGTCCATCAGCAAGGTCCTTCCAGGCCCCTCCCAGCCTGGGTCTGGAGGGAGAGGCTGGGAATAAGGCAATCATGGCTGCCACAATTACCAGCACTGGGCTTGTTATCTTCATGATTGCTATTAACTGTTTTCAAGGTGAGCAAAGAGAAACGTGGGGAGAGGAAGAGAGAGAAGTGCAGAGATGAAAACTGGGCTCCAAACAGCAATGGGGGTGAGGGAGAGGCATAGAAGCAGGTGAGGAGGGAGAAAGGGAGGGAGATGGAGAGGGAGCGGGTGGGAGATGGGTGAAGGAGGCTCAGAAAGGGGGGCAGCAAAGACAGCAAGATCTGTTCCAGAGAATCTCAGTAGTTCCCACCCCAGATCTCTACCCTGAAAGGCCATCCACTAAAGAGGTAACTAGCTGCCATTTCTCTGGACTAAGTCTGCAAACGCACACATCCTATCACTAGCTGAGGATGGACAAGGTCAATGACAGCTGGGAAAGAATCCTCCTGCCCCATGCTCCCTGAGTCCTCACCTCTCCTGGAAGCTCAGCTCACTCTCCCGCAGGCTCCCAACAGGGAGTTCCGATGACTGAACCTTTCATGCCCATTAAGCCAGCAAGTCAGCGTGCTGACAGTTGGCAGCGGCATAGCCTTTCTGGAACCGGGTAATTCCCGGAATTCTGCCTCAGCCATGCCAGGTCCCAGGGGATCTCCAGCCTGACTGCAGCCCCAGCCTCCTAGGGCAGGCCAGCTTCAGGAGCTCCTGCTCTCAGATTGATAGCGATGTAGAGCCTAGGGCCCCGGCTCCCAGGCTCTGTTATCAGTCCTTTGGGGAGGCACTGGCCAACGGGGACATCCACTTTCCCTGAGGGTGTCCACCTCTCCAGAGATCTAATAGGTACATACACTCATCCCCAAAGTAAAGACAGAACCGGGAACGTCCACGAGTTTCAGAACCATGGACAGCGGTCTTGGCAGCCCTCAGCCAGGGCAGAATCCAACATGAGCAAGGATATATACCAGGGAAGGGCAGGGCAGAAGGCTTTGAGTGCTACCCTTTGCTAGTCTGGAACTTGAACCAGTCACCACAGCAACCTGAAACTCACTTGCCCACTTGTGAAATGGGTACGCTAAAGTGGGTGCTTAAGGCACTGGATGAATACTAACCACAAGGCTTGTAGTTCAAACCCACCAGCTGCTCTCAGAAACCAGATATGGAGAAGTGATGCTCAGAGATAGCGTGGGGTAGTATGGGAAGGATACCCAGAACTCACTGCTGTATCCTGGGCAAGGATTTGGCCAGACCAGAGCAATCTGCATTCAGAACCACCCCTGCTCTCTGTGCCTATACCACCCTGACAGCCTCCACGATTCCCAGAGGCACTTCCTCCACTGGTTCTCAAACCATCCTGACCCTGTTAATGCACAGAAACTGCCCGGGTGACCTCAACTCTGCTTGGGAAACCAAAATACACCGAGGACAGCAAAATGGAGGCAGCAGCTGCATCTTATCCCTCATTTATGCCAGTGCAAATCCGGACTGGGCGAAAGCCAACTATGCAAACAGGCCCACAGCTGGGAGGCTGTAGCAGGATGGATGGACATACTGGTGGGTATGAGAGGCTGTGTGGCATTACATAGTAGGGGGAGTTGACCTGGGCATCTGGTGGGAAAAGGAATCACCATGGCTCAAGGCGTAGAGAAGCAAGGAGTGGCCACTGAGGTTCTGAAGGCAGTACCCAGCCGGAGGCTGAAGGCAGGCATGTGGACCTCTCCAACAGATCACTGTCTGGCAGGAGCAGTAGTGTGACAGTGGGCAGAATGGGGTGTGAAGGCAGGTGTGACAGAAGGTCCCACGCCAGGCACTAGCAGGATCCACTCCAGACAGAAGTGGGAGATTAGGAGACAGAACAAAGATCCTCCATGAAGAATGAGTCAGAACCACAGCCGGGCACGTCTGCAGCTGGCTCACTCAGCAGTGGCCCTCCCCTGCAGATCCCCACCTGGGGCTCGGGAAAGACGCAGTCCTCACAAAGGTCTTCACTTCATAGCAGGCAACTCCCTCCTCCATCCTACCCCCTGCACTGGGAGAGCCCATCAAATCTGAAGCTCTGACTCCCCAGTTCCTGATTCTCTCTATACCCTGCCTTCTTCCTAGTCACACTATTCATCCGAGTCCCCCTCTCTAAACCAGGAGCTGGTCAAGGGTAGGGTACAAAAGCAGATCTATCAGGGATGGGCTTCCTTCTGGCAGTACAAGTATATGTTGGCAGTATAACTCTATACCTAGTGGGTTTCCACAGTTCTAGGCCTAAATATCTTTCTCCCCCCAAAAACAAAAATCTTTCCTTGCAGAGAAAATGGCCAGGAGGAAGGACAGTGGATGGTTCTGCAAACAAGCTGCAAAGGACTGACCCATCAATGTAACAGCAGCCAGTAGCAAGAAGGAATGAACCAATCAGGAGTCAGGGGTAGACCAGTTCAATATCTTGAAACTTCTGGAGAGGTATATGAAATAAGATGTGTTCAAAAGAGAAGAACCAGGTAGACCTGTTACTGTTGAGTCAATTCCAACTCATGGCAACCTCATGTGTGTCAGAGTAAAACTATGTACCATAGGGTTTTCATGCCTGATTTTTCAGAAGCTGATAACCAGGCCTTTCTTACAAGACACCTTTTTCAATTAACAGCCAAATAAATCATTTGTACCACCCAGGGATACTGAGACCCCGGCACCAACTACTAATTCCCCAGTAAGTATTAACCTCAATCTCATGATCAGAGAACCCAAATCACACTGTGTGGGTTGTGAAAATCAAATGGCATTTGGGGCTTTGACCTTGACATTGTCCTCTGAGATGCAGCAACCCCAGGCATGACTGTGGAGGATACTCCAAGGGCTGGTTGAAGAACCTATGTGAACTTTCAAGTTCCCATATGGAACCTGTCTGCAAAGATGCATCAAACATGGCGTCCAGCCTGTGTCTACAGGAGCTGATGCAGGCAGGCGGGAGCTCTGGTCTCCAGGTCCAGCTGAAGGCGGAGGGGGGGAACCAGTCTGGTGCCCACCTACCCTCCCTCCTTCCCAGCTCTGCAGATGCTGGTGCCAGAGACCTGCTCTCCTTCTCGGTCTCCCTCCCTTCAAACCAGGGCTCAGCACCCATCTCCAAAGAAAGGAGACATTTCCACTCAAATAGAAGGGATTGGAGAGTTGGTCATTTTCGATTTGGGGTCCTTCAAGATTGAGAGGGGAAAAGGAAGGATGAAATATGAGCTTTACCATTCACGAGTGTTATAAACAGTTATAATTTAGCACTGAATAATTGGTTGCTATGGGAACCGCTGCAGTACAGGTTGAAATCATTTCTCCCTCCTGCATTCGGGTCTGACAAGGAGCTTCATCTACATATGCTCAGGTTCCTGCTGCAGCCCGGTTATTTTATGTAAATCAGAATCCCAGATTTGCTGGCTGCACCCTCCCCAAATGTCTGGTCCCTCTGCAGCCTCAACCCAACACCTTATCTCAGGGCGACCAGGTTGGAGATGGAGGGGAGAAGGGAGAAGCTGTGTCTTAAGGGCTCCAGGTCTGTGGGGGAGAAGGGCAGGCAGGCACTGGGGTGGACATACACCGTGTTCTTTGGCGGCAGGCAGTGTGGTCCAGACCCTCTCAGGATCTGACAGCTGCTCCCAGCTCAGCTCACAGGAATGCAGGGAAGGGACCTACAGGGGCTCGAGGGTCACCTTGTGGTTCACTTGGCACTGCCCAGGCATCTTAAGGCCTTCTGTCCAGCCAGCCTCCCACCCATCTTGAGGACCAGACTTGCATCTCAGTGGAGAGAGGAAGGAGAGAGCAGGAGGAAGTCAGGGGAGGAGGGAAGAGAGAGGAGGGAGTGAAGGAGGGGGAGGGAAAGGAGAAAGGGAAGGAAACAGGCAGGAGGAGGGGGGAGGAATGGAGGAGGGCTGAATGGAGAAAGGAAGAGATTCCAGCAGAGGGACCAAGTCCAGGCTAGCCTGAGACAGACAGACAGAGACACAGTCGGATTCAGAAACAAAAACAAAAGCCTGGTTTTAGGAGACTGAAGGGATCCAGCTTGGAGAAAGAAAACACCACCCAGGGATGAGCACCATCACCAAATGTGAAAAAGGCAGGAACTGACCCTCCTAGCCCTGGGAGGCCACCCTAGTGCCCCTTTCCTCCCTAACATTCCACTCTATCCCAGCAGCCCCAATGCAGCTTACCTCCACCACCTCCCCAGACAGGAGGTGCACCATGTGCCAAGGAGGTGGGGAGCCCTGACTATAGCACCCCACCACCTGTGGGTCCTTCATCTACATGGGGAGCTAAACCAGAACTGGGCAGGCCTATTATGCAGACTGGAGATCCCAGAGCCAGATAAGAGTCTCCTGCATGTCCAGCCCCCTAGAAGAATCTGCTATCCAGAAAACACTGGGGAGAGGGAGCTGGGTAAAGGGTGTTTGGCAGGAAGCCCTTGGATTCAGCCACTTGTTATAGTGACCCCATGTGACAGAGCAGAACTGCCCCATAGGGTTTCCTACAACCATAATCTTTAAGGGAACAAGTTGGAGGCCTCCTTCCCTCTGCCACTGGGGACTCCAGAATCTACCTTCACTCTGCCATTCGCAGAACCAGAGTCACAGACGGTCAGGGACACCTGCATCCCAGGCCTGCCAACTCAGACCCTTCCATCCCAGCCCCTGCAGGGGAGCAGGACCAGGATGGGGGGGGCACCAAAGCAGGGAATGTACCAGAGGAGCAAACTCACCCACCAAATCTCTGTTAAAGCAAAGATGTACAGAGGGCCCTTCAGGGGTAAAGTCGGGGGGTGGGGGGGGTGGAGGGCTCCTTCCCCCTCCCCCATCTGGATAATAGTAACAGAGAGCACCAAGCTCCTCAGATGATACTAAATCTCTGAGCACAGACTTGCATATCTCATTGAAGATCATGGGAAAGTGGAAACCTCCACCAACTTTCCCACATACAGTCTATTGAGGCATCCACAGCAAAGGGTGGGGTGTCCTGGGAGGGAACAGACACAACACCAGGACCACAAGTTGTGTCTGTCACATGAGGACCAGGTTTGCAGGGGACAGCAGGGATGGGACAGAGAGCAGTCTCAGGTAGGGAAACTGAGCTTGGGAAATGCTGGGATCTTTCCAGGTGACAGTGGGGAAGAACACCAAGAGTAACGCAGGTGAGAAGAGACTATGACTGCTGTGACATCTGGGGCTTAAGAGCTTGGACAATGGGGCTGGGGAGGGGCAAGGTCGGATGTGCCCTTCAGGGTGCCCCCCTCCCCATAAGAGTGTGAAGGACTATAGGGCATGACAGGGCTGGAGCTAGAGGGCAGACACAGGCAATGATCCAGGTGATAGATACGGGTGTCAACCATAGCAAAGAGGGTGGAGGCAGGGGTCACACAGCTGAGGTGTTCTGACCAGAGGAAGAAGGCCCAGACATGTCTTTGCCGCAGTCTTTCCAACAGGTCGGTCCAGAGTTGACCACCACAGGGACACAGGAGAAACTCCAGGGTGGCTCTGTCCTCCAGACATGTCCAAGTTAACACCAGGACATGAATAGAGATTCAGGCTGAAGATGGACCAGCCCACCCTCCAGCACACCTTACAAGTGAGACCCTCTCACTTATAATAGTCCACATCTGCTAGACCCAAAGGAAACTCAAGAGGAATAGTGGGTTGAATAGTGACCCCCCAAGAAAGTCATGTCCCCGGAACCTCAAATTGTGATATAATTTGGAACTAGGGTCTTTGCAGGTATAATCTGTTAACATCAGATCATCGTGGAGCAGGGTGGGGAAGACTGTCCTAAATCCAATGACTGTGTCCTTATACGAGGAGAGACCCAGAGACATAGAGGATATGGAAACAGAGGCAGACATTGGAGTCATGTGTCTACATGCACAGAACGTCAAGGATTGCTGGCAACACCAACACTAGGAGAGAGACAAAGGCATGGAACACCTTCTCCCTCTGAGTGTCCAAAAGGAACCAGCCTGCCTCTTGATATTGGACGTCCAGTCTCTGACTATAACATAATAAATCTGCTGTTTTAAGCCACCCAGTTTGTGGTCCTTTGTTTGGGCAGCAGACTCCCAGCGAGATGGACTGGCAAAGTGGCAGCATCAATGGGCTCAAGTGTGGCAATGATAGTGTTTGGGCAGTGGTTCGTTCTGCTGTGCATAAGGTCACTATGAGTCGGTACTGACTCGACAGCACCTAACAACAACAAAGATGACCATGAAAAAGTGATTACATCTCCCATGTTACAAACACCTTCCCCTCCACCATCACCTCTCCCTCTTTGATTATGGGAGCCCCCTTGCTTCTGCCCTGCTCTCTGTCATAGCAGACAGAAGCAGCCTGTCAAAGCCAAGTCAGATCATGCCCCATCTTTGCTTAAGGCCTTCAATCTCACTCAAGATAAAAGGCGAAGCCCACAGAGACCTCAGGCCCTCCTTGTCTTGGAGTCTGTTGCTTCGCTTTGGCCACACATCCTGAACATTCTGGAATGGTGTAGGACATCCAAATATTCTAGGACACTCAACAGGAACATTTCCCCCACCACAGAACTTCTTCACATGTACCCAGGTCTTCTACTCATGGCTCCCTACCTCACTCTGTGTGTCCAGAGGCCCTACCAAAGTCACTGAAGGCATTGATATCTTCCCATCATAACTCACCAGCCACCTAACCCATTTCTCTCACTACAAGGCCGGTGGGTTCCCTTTGACACAGAGATGAGCAGGCACAGTAAGCCAATGGCGCTTCCCCTTGGGACAGTGGCTGGGGCAGGACAGTCCTGTCAGGTAGGAGGCTGGACAGAGATAATGCCATTGGCTCAGACCCCACCTGAATCCCAGTGAGTCCCCAGCAAGTTCATCCTCAAGCCTTCAGGGGTGCATACCAACATCTCCCTGGCAGGCCACCAGAAAGACTAGAGGTGACGCTGAAGAAGAGCCGGGAACTCAGCACACAGTGAGTAACAAACAGGAGGCCTTGTTGTCATGTGGTCCTCTTATCATCCGTCCCCCTTACAAAGGGAAGGACTTTAAGGGGCAAATCTGCCTTGCTTTCCACATCTGTCACATGGATGGGCCATCAATTTTTAAGGTTTATTTTAAGAAGAAAGAAAGTCCCATGTGAGCATTTTGACAGTATGGTATCAGGAGAGGGAAACAAGGATTCAGCATTTGTACCATCATGCCTCACCAACCAGAGTCAGGCAGAGTATGTGGTAACCTCTCCTATCCGGAACAAGCTAAGAACCAGGAATAAAGTAGCAGATGCCCAAGCAACCATGGGGAGGTCACACAGCTTAGGTGTGTTCCTTATGCATCCCTGGGCAGGGTGGGGAGGAGAGGCCTCCTTATTCTCCTTCAAACTTATCAGTTGTACCAGGTTTCCAAACTCACTATGGATCAGAAGGGAAGAAACATACTAGACAGCAGACATGTGGACAACAAGGTTAATGGAACACGAGTCTAAGCAGCAATTCAGGGACAAAGGACACTGGGAACCTATCGCATCATGGCTCAGGACAGCAAGACAAGAAAAGATCATGGATGCTCAGAGCATTCTGTTTAAGAAAATGTACGTTTCAGATACATCTCAGAATGGCTTCTATACACCATGCTGGGTACTGTAATGTGTTCTAGTGTTGGTCACTTTAACTCAGCCTCTAGGAAAACCCAGAGGTCCTGGGTAGCAGTGCCCTCCACCCACCACCCCTGCCCCTGCACTCCACACACCTCTTTCTTCTTCCGCTTCCCTTTGGACTTATTCTCCTTGAGTTTTTTGGATTTCTTCTTCTTGGGGAGGCTCACAGGCTCCTCGGGGAAAAAGTCATCGAAGACATCAAGGCCACCATCTTCTTCTTCTGGAAGAATCAGGAGGAGGAGGGGATTACTCTTAGGGAGACCACTGAGGGCACAGCAAGAGGCAAAGTCCACTCCGATACCTGACTCCATCTGCACCCAACCTGGGCAGGTCACGGCCACCCCATCCTCACTCATCATCTCCAGCCCCACCACTATTCTTTGCAGACAAATCCATCCACCATTTCTCCACTCCACCCCCATCACCTGCTTCTTTCTTGACCCTTAGAGACCACACACTCCCAGATCCTGGGAAGAAGGGCGCCCCTTGGCAGAGTGGCCAACCCAAGGCATTGTTCTCTGCTCTCTAGGGACCCATGGTGTGGCTGGGAGGCAGTTGATGGATGCAGGATGCTGAGAGAACACCCCAGGACTAAGGCATCATGACAGCCAGTGCGGGGGGCACAGGAGACCCTGTGGGTCCATCTGGGAGTCGAGAGCAGCATTTCCACTCCCCTGCTGATCTGAAGCCCCACCTGTACCCCACAAGCACACACAGACACCCAGACATCCCACCTCACTGCACACACCAGACACACAGATGTCATGGTGGTCCTGCTGAGCACCAAGCACGACACAAAATTCCCCAGGGAGATGCTGCATCCATCCCACATGCTACACCCGTCGAGGACTCCCTCCTCACTTCAGGAACCAAACGCTGGCAAGGAGGGGTGGGATTTGAGAAGAGTGTGAGCTTCATACCACCCCCCCAGGGGAGAGAGGGAGGGAGTCTGTCTCCTTACTGTAAACCTGGGAAGGGGGCTCCCAAAGAGTTGCTCAGAGGGTTTGAGATGTGAACACATAGGGGTGGGGGGGGCATGGTGGCCTGGGGGCTAACTCCAACAGGGAAACCAGGAGCAGAGAAGGGCAACAAAGCATGGAGTTTGGAGATCAGATGTGGGTCATGAGGGAAGAGTGGGGTGGGGTCTTCTAGGAGCGCATGGTACCAAGAAGTCGCAAGAGACCACCCCATATACACACACCAAAGGAGTCTCTAGAGGGGTCAAGGAGAGGTTCATGGACAGCCACTTTCCACACCAGCCCCTACTTCAGATAAAACCCATGTCCCAAGCAATCCAGGGGGTGTCTGGGGCAGGGTAAGTGGGCAAAGAGAAAAGTCAGCTGGATCTGCAAGCCAGCAGGGATGAGGTTGGGGGAAGATACACAGGGAAGCTCAGAGCCCATAATCATATGAGACCAGGTGACCCGAGGGAGGACGAGAGGTCACGGTCACCAAGTGAGCTTCATCCAAGACAAGGGACAGCATATCCCCTGGCTGAATCAAGTTTACAGAAACAGAGTCCCACAAGATGTTCTTCAGTGTACAATCGCATGGTCACATGGTGCACAGTGTCAGGACACACATAGCTACACGCAGGTGCACAGGTACAAATGAACAACAAAACCCATCCCATGTGCACACGTGTGCTGCTGGCCTTCCTGCCTCCCATCCTCCACACAGGCCCCAGGCACAGCCCAGGATCCTGACCTTCTCAGAGCCACAAAACCACCCCCACACCTTGAGAATGCTGACATCCCCTCCCACGCTATGCCACAAGGCTGGCAGGATCCCTCACTCCAGCCCCAAGGCAGCCAGGCCTCCTGGGACCTTGGCCACAGAAGCAAGTGTCAGCCCTGCCCAAAGAGCTCCCAGGAGTTTGGAGGTAGAGGTGGGAAGGGTCATCTCATGTCCAAGTCCCAGACCCTTCCTATCCCATGGGGCTGATGGCAAACCCAGAGATGGCCAAAGGCAGGCCAGAAGTCAGAGGGGAGCAGCTGCAAAGGCGTAGCCCCAGCATGGCTGAGGCGAGGCAGCGCTGGTCATTCCTGAGAAAGGACTCTGGCATGCCATGTCCCGTAGAGAAGGGCACTGCTGAGAAGAACCAAGCATAGCGAGGGCTTGGCCAAGGCTCTGGCACTCAAGAGCCAACCCCCAAGCTGGATATCATGTGGCCTAGATTCCCCAAGATCCCCCTGAGTACCAGCTCTTAGAGCCCTCAGATGAAAGAGGCAGGGGTTTGGGGAGCAGGTAAGAATTCGCACAGGGACTGCCAACAAGAGGAAAGCTCATCCTGGAGTGGGGGTCCAGGAGCAGGGGACCTTGAGGAGCAGTAAAAGGCCCTGGGGGTGGGGACAGGTTCTGGGGATGAGGTGACAATCCTGGGGACAATGACAGACCCTGGGGGGTGGTGCCAGGTCATGGGGTAAGGTAATGGGTCCTAAAGGTGAGCTGATGGGTCCTGGGGGCCAGTGATGATCCTGGGGGGCAGTGACAGGTATTGGGGGGTAGTGATGGGTCCTGGGAAGCAGTGATGATCCTGGGGGGGCAGTGACAGGTATTGGGGGACAGTGATGGGTCCTGGGAAGCAGTGATAGACCCTGGGGGGGTAATGTTGGGTCCTGGGGGCAGGGACAGGTTCTAGGGAAACAGTGACAATTCTGGGGAGCGGTGATGGGTTTTGGGTTTTGGAAGGAAAGAGCATTGGGAGGTGCAATGCCCATCTACACCAGTCCATTTCCCAGCCCCTCTGCCTCCACCACCCACGGCTATAGGGAGATGCTGGGGCAGAACCACCCCCACAGCCAGGCGGTACCTCCTTCAGTTATGTAAGGGCTCCAGGCTGATGCAATCCAGGGAGACCTCCCTCACGCTCCCTCCTCCCTGCTCTGCCATCCCTGTCCCCTCCCAGCAGGACGGCCTCCTGAGAAGTTCAGCCCAGCCCACAGTGACTGACTGACCGACTGACCAGAAGAATAGACAAGAAAATAGGTGGCTGCATTCATTCTGGGAAAACGCCTCTGACCTACCTGTAAGCTGCTTCAGCCCTGCCTGGAGAGGCGCTAGAAGGGGTCCCACAGAACCCCACACTTGGACCCTCCACTCTTGGACACACTCTGCCCCACCCCCAGAAGACCTCTCAGCTCAGGGCCATATGGCTGGTCGAATCCCCATTGCAAGGAGGTTCCAGGATGGGGAACCTGCCTGCCTACCTCCAGCTTGGACAGGCACCTCCTCCTCTGCCTGCACTGTTCCAGTGGCCCTGAGGACATTCTGGGGCTGGCCTGTGCGTCACCCCGTCCCTCACTCATCTGGACTTCACCCCAGACTCATCCTCCCCGTCCCCCTAGAGATGGGGGTGTCCTATCCCAGAAGTCCTTCCTGGAACCACCAGCATTCCTACTCTGTGCCTGGGAACCCATTGCTCCATTCTGCCAGCCTACCTAGCAAGGACAGAGCCGAGGGTCACAGGGTGCAAAGTCTTGGGGCACAGAGCCAGCAGCTCAGGTGGGTGCCCACCGTGTTTGACAGTGGACCAGCTCTGGGAGAGGAAGGGCCACACCACAGGCCTCCTTGACCTTCCAGGTCTCACAGGCCCACCTGGCAGTGCCCTCCTGGCGCCAAACCCTGCCCCCCCCCCCCCATCAGAAGCCTCAGTCTCCTATTGATCCAACCTGGGCTATAATTAGGACCCATTAGCTCTGTTATCTCCTAACTCCTGCATTGGAGGGGGGCCGGGAAAAGAGCAGAGGGTCTGCTTAGGAACAGGGAGAGAGGAGAGGATGGGGACACAAGCTGTCCACCTTCTGCTCACCTTCTTCCCACCAGCCATGCCCCCCTTGCTAGATACCAAGCTGGTCTAGGTTGAGTCAGGACAGACGGCAGTTGTACGGTCCTTCTCAGGTTAAAATGCTATCAGAGTGGCAAGAGCTATTATTCACATACCACCTCCACCTACCAAAGCACTCAACATATATCAAGGCATCTAACCCACACAACAGTCCTGGGTGCAGTCATTATCCCCATTTTGCAGAGGAGAAAACTGAGACCTAAAGATCTCAGAAGACTCTGAGTCTCGGAGTTCAAGGCTGAAGGCGCAAAGCCACCATGCAGAGGATCTAGATTACTATATGCAATCCCCTCCCCTGGCATTCCCACCAGGCATGTGACCTTTCCAGAATTTCCAGACACCCCCTATGTATCCATTTTAAAAGGACAGCCTATGTACTAAGCTCAGGCTACCCTTTAGGACACTGAGGTGATTCCATCCAGTCCCTGGGGTCACAAGGCCAGTCCACCACAAATCCCCCATGAACACACCCACAGGTCATACTTTCCTTCCCCAGCTCTTGCTCCTACCCTGGGGCCAGGCAAGAATGTAGTCCGATAGTAAGGCTTGAAAGCACACGGTGACCAGAATCAAACAAAAGCTTATGATTGTTCAGGAAGGTATTGGTCATCTGTTTCAGGGGAGGGGAGCCTAAAGATTTGGGGAGCCCAGACAGGAGCCAGATCAAGGGTTCCATCACAAGGGTCTGTCTCCTCCTCCCCTCCGGCAGGCCAGCACCAAGCAGGGACCAGAGGTGGCACACAGTGGTCTCCAGCAGGCCATTTCAGCAAGCCCCTCACCTCTGGATCTTCATCTGCAAAATGGGCCTTTCTCACAGTGTTATGGAGAGAATTCAACATTGCAAATGGAAAGTGCCCACACGATGCCCACAGGCAGGCAGAGCCCAGAAACATTCAAGAGGGTCAGGAAGGTAGGTGGTGAAGGGATATGTTCTGGCACCCCTGGATAAGGGTTCTTGTGGTCACTCCTGAGCTAACCAAGGAAGGGGCTGCCAAAACAAAAGCTTCCCATTAATTCTTAGACCATCCCCAACCCTACAAGCCATAGGCCCTATGCTGATAATGGGGGGTTAGTGTTCCTGACCGAGAGGATTAATAATTCATTTATGATATTTAACAAAACCCAGACATCACCTCACTGGCGTCTCATCAGAAGAAAGCATTGGTCTTGTGAGATCAGGGTGGGGGGTGGGGGCCGTGATGGAGCTTTTACTGGAAGTGACTGGAGTCTGGTGGAAAGTGAGAATGGAAGGCAGGACAGGCAAGGACAGACAGCCACACACACACCACTCCACCAGCAGGCTCAGTGCACTGGCAGGGGATAGGAAAAAGAAGCAAGGAGGGGAAGAAGTGGGAAGCTAGACCTGGAAGACCTAGCTACAAGGGTCTAAGGGGATCGAGAGAGACATCCGACAGAGAGAAGCAAAAGAAATGAATCAGGGAAAACAAAGACCAAAGACACGGAGACAGACAGAAAGGAAAATAGAACAGACACCAAGTGAGAGAGAAAAACAGGGGGTGGGGGGAATAAAGACAGCCACAGATAAAACAGGAAGTCTCCGTTTTACCTACAGAAGCCCCCAAAAGTTAGATACCACATACTATGTTCAATACCTGGCTAAGAAAAGATGCTCAAGAAATCTATGTTGACTGAATGGATGGATGGATAGACACATGGTGGATAAATGGGTGGCTAGACAGATGATGGATGATGGGAGTCCTGGTGTGGCACTGTGGGTTAATGTACTGGACTGCAAAGTTGGTTTGAACCACAGGGTCAGAGGATCAAGCTTATCAATTGCTCCTTGGAAACCCTATACAAAGTCGTTATGGGTGGGAATCGACTCGATGGCACTTAACAATAACAAGATGGATGATGAATTGAAAGATGGCAGGTCGTTGGAAGGATGATGGAAAGGTAAACGGATGAACAAGTGGATGGAAGGGTAGATAAGCAAATAGATCAGTGGTGGATGGATGGATGGTGGATGCATGGTGGATGGATGAATAGATAGATGGACAAGCAGGTGGATGGTAGAGAATGTATAAATGAACCAACAGTGGACAGATGGATGGAATGGCTAGATGGTTAGTTATATAGTTCTAAAGGTAGGTGTTTGGGTGGATATATGAATGGATGGATAAAGAATCAACTGGCACTTGATTCCTGATCAATTCAAAATATCCCATTGGAGCAAGTGTGTTGATCACTTTGCTTTGCTCCTCCCAGAAAACGATATGCTAAATAATCAGGCTCCCTGGAGCCCTCCCCAACCTACATTTCCCCAGGTGGGAGGTAGCAAGCTGAAATGGCAAGATCCAGTGAGAATCCTGGTTATCACCCCTCCTGGCCCCAAGAGAAGACTAAGATGTTCCCAAATCTGGGGTCTGTCCTGTGGGCATGGGGAGTACGGGCCAGTCAAATGGCAGTGGGCCCAGAGTAGCCACACTGCACAGAGAGGAAAAGAACCAGGCTCCCCAACTCCTGTAGATTCACCCCTCTGGTTATGAGGAAGGATGGCTGGGCCAATAAAGCAGGGAACTGGCTAGCCAGAGTCAGGTCCAAGAGGGTCCGGGCCACATCTTCTGAGGAAAAGGCCAGTGTTACTGATCCCCTCCCCAAAATGCCACCAGCCCCACCATGGAAAATGCACTCACAGCCCTCCTCCAGCCCAGGTCCCTACTCCCCCAGCTTACTGGATGGGGGTGCAAGTCTTGGAAGCATTTCCGCGGGGACTGCAGGGCACCTGCACCCCTTGGATGGTGCTAATTCTAACAGCCACTGTTGATGGGGCACCTCTTATGGGCTGGGCTCTGTGACCTAAACGTTCCACGTGTGCTGTCTCACCAGCCCTCATAATAACCCTCTATGAGGTAGGAAGTGTTACATCCCCATTCTACAAATAGGGACACTGAGGCAGGGAGACTGGGGAGCTGGCCCAAGTCACTCAGGTGAGCAGCAGTAGAGGTGAGCAATGACGCCTCATTACCTGACTCTCAAGCACTCACTTTAACCAGCACTCTAACTCCCTGAATTTGGCACCTGCTGATTCCTGCACCAGAAGTGGGCACCCACCCCTGCCTCAGTACCAGGGGAGCACCTGTCACTTCCAGAGAGCGGTCAGGGCAAAACTCTGAGTGGGAGACCATACACTGCTGGGCCACAGCAACACTAAGGGAATGTGGGGAGGTGGGGCCGAGCCAACAATTTGACAAGTAACATCCACTACTAAGCATTTTTAAATATTCAAATGACAGTACCCAAAACACCTGCTCCACCAGCCACAAACTACAGTGTTTCAGAATAGCTGGCCCCAGATTCTGTGGGTCATGGAGCTTGAATCCAGGGCCACAGGGTAGAAGTAGTGGAGGGCTGAGGGGCTGTTGACCAGCATTCCAGGAAGAGACGTAAGACCTGGCCTGCTGGGACATGAAGACCACAATCTTCTCTAGAGCCCCCATGGTGCCAAGTGCTAGGCCTAGTGGGAGATCTCCAAGGAAAACCACAAACACAGATGTAAACTTAATAAGAATACTCCAGAACAATAAAATACTAATAAAGAATATTCCAGAGAGTACAAGTGCTGCTAAGAAAATACAGCAGAGAAATGGGCTAGAGAGAGTTAGGAGTTCAGGGATCAATCAAGTGACATTTGATGGAGACAGGCAGGCAAAGATCAGAAGGAAGTGTTAAGCAGGCAGAGGTCACAGAACATGCCCGAAAGGCAGGAGCAGGCATGATGTGTTCTAGAATTGACAAGGAGACCAGGCAGGCTGAGTAGGGTGATCTGATTACAAAGGTGATCTGGTTGCTGAGTAGAGGGTAGCCTGTAGGGGGCCACAGTGAGAACTAGTTAGGTGGCTCTGCAGTGGACAAGGCCTGGAGAGCTGAGAGAGGAAGAAAACACAGGGCATGTTCTGGAGGTGCTGCATCATCTTGTGGCTGGGTTGGGCTGGAATCCCCAGGCCAGTGGTGTTGGAGAAGAATCGTTCCTCTGCAGAACTTTGTAGGTATTCCTGGTGGCTCTGGGGGACCCCCACCTGTCCTGCCCAGGTCTGGAGCCAGGGGCATATGAAAGAAGGAGACGACAGATGGTGATGGTGGGAGACTTGGGCCCAAGCAGTGAGCAGGGAGCCCACAGTGGCCTCCTTCCCTCCTCAAGCTCTGCAAACTAACAGCCAATGAGTTATTGTTGTTGTGTTATTGATAAATGCCATCAAGTTGGTTATGACTCATAGCAACCCTGTATAGGGTTTCTGAGGAGCAGATGATGAGTTTGAACCAGCAACCTTGCAGTTCAAATCAGTCCAGTGCTTATCGTATGGCGCTACATCAGAACTCCAGCCAGGGTAAGAAGAGACAAGGGACTTGGTGGCAGGTGGCAGTGAAGTCCCAGAAATGGACCTGTTACCACAGGTTTAGCTGTCTATTGCCCCATCAGCACCACAAAAGAGCCATGTTTCAAATACCACCATGCGCTAGCTACTTACTGCTCCCCAAGAGCCAACCTCAGGGCCAGACAATGGCCCCAGTGCCCTTGCCTGTGCTGGAGCCTCTATATACCCCTCCAGGGAATGGGCTGATTCCATCAATCCAAGATGCAACTGTCAACTACTGTCCAAGTAACCCAAAGGGGCCACCCAATCCTAGTCCTCTGGCCCCAACAGATTTCTTGGCAAACTTGACCTGAGTGTCTTAAGGGCGGAGTTAGATCAGGCTGCTGTAGAGGACCCACCTTTAAAGCCATTGAACAAACCAACAAGTACAAGAGGAAAGAGGAAGAGTGGGGACAGAGGGGCTCAGGGGGCGTGGCCTGAACAATAAACCCCACACTGGGAAGATACTAGGCTGCCTGGAGCGTCCCTGCTCTATCCTCGGCTTCTCACCTTCAGAATAGAAGCTGGAGTCTCCACTGGTGGAATATTCTTTCCCCTGGGGAAGGCGCTCTGGGACCCTGACAGCGCATTCTCAGCCCAGGACCTCAGCCTTGAGTCTTTCAGAAGTCAATGAAAGGCCCAGATTTGGTGTTAGGATGCTGAGAATAATGCAGTCCCCCAAAGAGAAGAAGGCAGGGAGGAAGGCTGAAGGGTGAGGCACAGCTGGGCCAAGAGGAAAAAACGTCCCAAACAAATCCTGAGCTCTTAACTAAAGACATCCTGCAGGAAAGCCCCTGACTGTACACTGTATTTTGGGTTAAATCTAAGCCAGAGGTAGCAGGGCAGGGGCGGAGCCCCTGGGGTGTCCATAATCAAAGCGGGGTCGACTGGGAATGCCACTACCCTGGGCAACCTGGGGCTGCAGACAGCGGTTGGCTCTAGGACGCACAAAGTGCTCCGGAGTGGTAGCCAAAAGGCCAGTCGGGGAAGAGGTGCACGCACGAGCTGGAGGCCACGCACTCCAGCCAGGAACCCTCGTGTGCCGGGAGGGAAGCAGCTGAGTCCGGGCGCTCGACGGGTCCCTAAGCACGGTCAGTCCCCAGTGCTCCGGCCCCACCCAGCGCGCCATGGGACCCCGAGGCGCGCAGCAGCTGGACGAGAGCGCTGGAGGCTCGCGCCAGGAGCGAAGCGCTCTGCCCGCCCCCTTCAAGGGCACCGGGCTGACCCCGGCGTGCCGCGTTCCTCCCAGCCCGGCGCGCCCAGGGCAGGCCCCTGCCCGAGCCCCGGG